ATTTGTGCTATAATAAGGACAGAATGTCTAAGTCTTTAGGGCCACCAATTATACTATATTATTTGTGTGTCCACCACATTTTCTGGGCTTTCTTATGATTTTTCCAGTTGAATTTAATGTTGTTCCAGGTTAATTGTATCATATGCAAATATCATTAATTTTTGGCTTATTTTTCAAAAGTTCATATCTTTTTGGTTCTGGTCCTGTTTACTATGATAACATGGCTACTGCTTCCAGGAAAATGTTGAATAAAATACTTTTTACTAGGCAAAAAAATCCAGCAATTGATAATGTTAGTTCCTGAATCTTCTAATAGTCATACAGTTATGCTATTTGAAAACTTCTCAACTGAATAGAAATGCATTATATTATTTTGCCAGTAAATACTACCTAGTTAAGTAGAGTTAAAGGGCACTACCATTCCTAAATCCCATTTACTCTCATTTGCATATGCATTTGCACATGCCTCACAGGCCTATGTCACGTATGCAAATCCTGATATTTTTCCAAATGCAAAAGAATTGAGGACAGAAATTGTAAGACCCTGATTTTCAGCTTAAACTTCTTGATTGCTTAGAGCAAAAATTTGTTACATGCAAATTTTTTATTTTTCTTCAAGGAGCAAGAAACAGAGTACAAATGTTTTTCAGTTACAGACATCATCTATACATTTAGTATAGAAATTCTAGATTTCAAGCAGGTAAGAAAAAATAAGAACAGATTCTGTTAAATAAAATTTACAGGAGGCCATTGGTTTGGACAGAGCTCCTGCACTAGGCCCAACAGACCAAACCGAAATGGAGTCACTCATGCTGAAGTTCCACTCACCAAGCCACAACTAAATTGTTTATCTGATCTAAGAAATCAGGAGAGATATCATAGTCAAATCCCCAAACAGGCCAGTTTTAGCTGGCATAAGGAAGTCCCCTCTGCTTTAACCTTTATAAGGAAAGCAACTTTAAAATGGCCACTTTTTGCTCTCTGTTTCTGCTTTTTTCAGCAGTTTTCTGTCTATAAAGCCAAACTCCTCTGCTCAGCTCATCAGAACACCCATTCTATTTTATAGAACAGGCTGTTGCCTGATTCTAGAATTGCAAATAAAAGACAATTAAGATCTTCAAACTAAATTGGTTCTAAATCTTGTCTTTTGACAATTCCAAAGGGAAAATGGAAGATGAGTGGAAACACAAAAGAGAAGGATGAATGAGCTTCAAATATTCTACCTGGTAGCAGGTAACCAAAACAGTCAAGTCCTTAACTTTAAAAAATGTATTAAGTACCTGATTCAAACACAGGCCCACAAATGCATGCAGGCACAAACTCCTCCCCTAGGGTATACATTTACTCTCCCCCCACCCTCTTCCCAGCATCCCACTTTCCCTTCTTAAGGGAAGGGATATCTTGTTTCTACATGGGAAGGGCCAGGCCTTTCATACTCTTGACCCTTGTATTTCAGGCTTTTACTCTCAGTCCCAGAGGTAGGGATTTGACCCAGACCCAATCAACCTCCTTGCCTCAGTGATTGGCTCACTTTAGCCAACCAGAAAAATCAGAGACAATCTTGGGCATTTTGTTTGAATGACTTAAGAGAGGCCCTCCCTTTTTCCCATTGTCTTTGATGCCAAGAGGATGTAGAGGGTGGAGCCATGGCAGTCATTTTGGATCCGTGAGGTAGAGCCTGAAGCTTCAAGGGATACCATAAGGGCCTAAAACTAAACCAGAATTGAGAGAAGAGAAACCACATCCTGATAACAGCATGAGAACTCTTGATCTAGTCATTCTTGACCCAAGATCTATCTCAGAACTTTTCATTTGTAAGAACCAATAAATTTCTTTTTTCCTTAAACCTGTTGGAGTTAGGGTTTTCTGTTTCATTTTGGTTTTAGTTTTTGTCATTTGTAACCAATAGAGTATTCACTGATAAATCAAGACCCTGACATCCTAGTAATGATATAAGAAATACACAGAAATTTAATTGCTCAAATGCCCCTATCAGTCATATGCCAAGTGAGTCCTTTTGCTTCATATTTCTGATTCATCATTTCACAGGATTTCAGTAGCTCTATTAAATGCTGCACAGTTTTAGTATCATAATAAATATACAATTTAATCAGTATAAATTTGATGTATCAAATAATAATGCTTTTCATATGTATCATTTATGAAATTCTTTTCATATATATTTTTTAAATCCATAAAACATGACTGGGAGAGATATTATTATTCGCAGTTTATAGACTAAGAACTAACCAAAATTTTTAAATGTTGACTTGGCCCTAAGACCTAATAGCTAGTAAGTGATAAGGATCAGGTCTTTTTTTCATTATTCTTTATTATCTTTATGTTCATTATTCTCTTCATCACTCCACAAATACTTTTTACCTTGAAAAGTATAATTGGCTGTAAGTGCAAACAAGACATAAATAAGCATTAAGTTCCATCAAAGTAAGAGATATAAAACTTTAAAATAATATAATCTTACCCAAATCAGTATCTCGAATTCCCAAGTACAATTCAAGAAGATCATCAATCTTTTCAATTGCCTTTGCTTTGGCTTCAGAAGGCTTTATCAAAGAAGAGAGAAATAACATATTACATTTTTATAGTGAAATTTCATGATTGTTGGGGCATATGTAAGCAGAAATCTGAGGTGCAGCCAGGTCATAGTTGTATACTTCAGCTAATTTTAATGGAAATAGATCTTCTACAATGTGCTCTGTAACTAAATACAAATCAATACAGTAAATACTTATATTTAGTGTCAGCTTTAAGTTTTGTGGATTCAAAACAGAAAAGCCAGGAACACAGTCCTCAAGTAGCTAACAATCTAGAAATGAAGACAGATGTGAAAATAAATAATTGTGTAACAATTTTTAAAGGATATAAAAGGTACAGAAGCATCACAGGGAGGAAGCAAGTTTATATCTCTAATAGTCATGGAAGATTTCCAAAAGAAGGTGACTTAACAACCGTGTTTTCAAAGATGAACAGGAGATAAGCAGGAGAGGGCACTTCGAGCAGAAGGCAAAGTCTACGTGAGGTCACAGAGTCTGAGAGAAGGTGACGGCATGTCAGAGGGACTACAAGAAGTCCCATGTGACTGGAGGACACAGTGACAAACATGACTAGAACTGAAGGGGTCCTTTGTGCCACGAAGAGGATTTTTGTCTCTATTATGCAGGCCAGCATCTGCAAACTTTTGGTGGCTTACCCTAATAGCACAACATTTCTGAACACATATCCTTATTATTTGTTTTAGTTAATTTTATTGTATTGTTTATAAATTATACACATGTATTACCATATTGATATACTGTATACATTATAAAAATACCCCAGAAAAGGGGAATTTTATAAAAATGAAATAATGATGAAATTTTTTTTTTTTTTTTGGGGGGGGAGAGATGGAGCCGTGCTGTGTTGCCCAGGCTAGTCTCAAACTCCTGGCCTCAAAAGATCCTCTCACCTTGGCTTCTCAAAGTGCTGAGATTACAGGTGTGAACCACTATACCTGGCCTGAAATAGTATTTTTAAAATACTTTTTGTGTTATGTATTAATGGTATCAAAACATTTTTGTTCTTCCTAAAACTATTATTAAAAGTTTCAGTAAAAAACACGATTGTATAAGTCTTAACATTCTTTTAAATTTTTGGTTGACTATTGGATAAATTCTGGTTCTAAGTTCAGTTTATTTCAAAACTTGGTTTTAAATGGTATCATAGCTAAAAAAAGGAATTGCCCAAAGATGTTAAACACTCAACTCTAGGAGCAGATGTAGAATTTGTGATTAGTTAGATTGTAAGAATTTCACATTACTTTTAATACTGTTTATAAATGTATGTTGCTTTGTAGTCTCAAAATTTATTAAAATCATATATTTTGTAGAAAATGAAAATTTCCTTGAGGATATTAGTACAACTTTCTCACATTTTTATTTACAAGAACTCAGCCTTAAAAGCAATAGCAAAGACAAAATATTGCTCTTGCCTTCACTGCAGCGTATTTTGAATTGTCTGTAAAGCAACCGGCTATGCAAAGTAACTTAGGTATTAACCTTTGCATCTATCCAGTCACATTGTAAGTGATGGCCACAAACAAGTGTCAGTATGCTCATACAAAAATGGCCACCAATATTTCACCATTCAAATAGCTTCTATTAGCTATGGATTAGCTCTTGATCTATCACCCCTTCTCCATCCACATTCTGTTTGCCTGGGTTCTGTCCTCACCTTTTCTGATTTCCAGAGGTTTCTTAATTTGTCTCCCTGCCGGCAGTTGTCGGGTTCTCAAATCCATCCTGCTCAGCAACCCATCCCCTAGATCCAAGGGATTTTTCTAAAACACAAAACTGATTGTGTTGCTCCCCTTGCAATTCCTAAATGGCTCTCTCATGATCCCCAGGCCCTTCACCTCCTAACCCAGCCCAAACCTCCAGCCTCATCACCCCCAGCCAGGTACTCCCAGCACCCCACACCCCAATCACATGGGCGGCTTTACAGGGTCCCCAAGCCCATCATTGTTTCATGCCTAGAACACTCTTCTTCTCACTTTGAACCAACTCATTCATTCCTTCTGGAAGGAAACTCCCTGACTTCCCTTCTTTCCCTGATCCCTGATGACAGTTGATGAGTCCCTTCTTTGTGATGTTGTGAATCCTGTACATACTTTCATTAACGCTATGAAGAGCTTTGTAAGAGCTTCTTTTCATGCCTCTCTTTAGAGGAGAAACAGGGTCTTTATGCATCTTTGTATCATCAGCACCTAGACTGTGCCTGTCTCAACAATCACATATCCAATAGAGTATGAGGTATGCGAGTGCAGTAACTTACAGTTTTCAGCATTTATGCTAGGTTATAAGGGAGTGATTTGTTTCAAATCCTATAAATCCTTTAAATCCTTAAGTTTTTGAAATTAGATTGTAGGTCATTTGTATCATATTTAATATTAGCACCAAACCAGCTTTTTCCTTTCATTATGAGCTATTTTTAATTGCCCTATTTAATTAAACAGGCTATGAAAATAGGAATGGATTTTCAGATGTTTATCTTTGAATGAATCTTTCCTATGTCCCCAGATAGACCTTAAGCTACTCTTTTTCATCCCAGGAACTTACATATAGCTTACATTTACATAAATAAGTATTTATGAATTATGTTAACTATTAGAACATGCAGACCCTGCTTCCTTTGCGAGCTGTTTAAATGCCTGCCCATTTTTCCTCACAGCCTTGAGAAAAGGCAGAGTTGACCTTCTCCTGGCTCCCCACTGCTGGCCCCTTCCCTCTGTTCTCCCACTGGAGTTTGTCCATTTCTTCAATAAACAGTTACTGGCCCTCTGCAATATGCCAGGCAGTGTGCTGGGCAAGTGGGAAAGCAAAGGCTCGAAATAACCAGAAGTCACTGCCCTGGGTTTTCTTCATGTGCCTCATCACCTCATTTGCAAAATGCTTTTGGCTTTATCAGGTCTTTTAGTTGCCATTTGCTTCCTGACCAATCCTTTCATTCCCCCATAACCAAGGCCCCCTACTCGGAATCTTCCTCTGGATTCCCCAAAGCTGACAACACCCTGGGTGACTCAAACACTGCTAAGGCTACCTTGGCCTCATGGACTCTTGAATGTCTGCTCTAACCAACCACTCCCGTGGCTGACCCTGGGGCATTGTCACCCAACCAGCTCTGGGATCCCACTCCATGAAACAGCCTCCTAACTGTTCACCTGTCTCTTTTGTTCTTCAGACACATGGGAATCCTGGGAGAGTGTCACACACACAGAGACCTGTGCACCTGCCCACAGGAGTTCCCGGCCCTCAGGCAACTACTCGACCTCCCCTTCACCTGCGTGATGACTTCATTCCCATTACCTTCGCTGCTGCGTGTGGACCTGCCACTTGTCACTCAGAACTTTACCACTGCCACTCCAACCCTGCTACTCTCTCCTTCCACCCTGCTTGCCTTCGTTTGTCTCTTCGCCTTCTGGTGTTTTTCACTCACACACTGACCTTTATATAGACACAGTCAATCTGTCAGCAAAACACTTGCTTTTTTCAAGCTAAAGTGAATCCTTCATTAATCGATTAACTCAGCAAAGATCTGAGTTCCTTTGATATACCAGGTTCTATTCTAGGTGGTGATGATACAGCAGTGCACAAGACATGAGCAAAGGAGCTAGACAACAGACAAAATTAAATAAATAAAGACATGAGTCCTGTGGTATTTAGTGCTTTTAAGAAAACAAAGGGGCAGGGCATAGTGGCTCACACCTGTAATCCTAGCACTCAGGGAGGCTGAGGAGGGAGGATCGCTTGAGGTCAAGAGTTCAAGACCAGCCTCAGCAAGAGTGAGACCCTGTCCCTACTAAAATAGAAAGAAATTAGCCAGGCAACTAAAATAGAAAAAAACAAAATTAGCCAGGCATGGCGGCGCACGCCTGTAGTCTCAGCTAATTAAGAGGCTGAGGCAGGAGGATCGCTTGAGCCCAGGAGTTTGAGGTTGCTGTGAGCTAGGCGACGCCACGGCACTCTAGCCCGGGCAAAAGAGTGAGACTCTGTCTCAAAAAAGAAAAGAAAAGAAAGAGCATGGAAGAGTGGGCAGTAGGAGGTGTGGAGGAATTGCTATTTATACAGGACACTCAGAAAAGGCCTTTAAGGTGAGGTGGTACGTAGGCAGAAACCTGACAAAGGCAAGGGAGCAAGCCATGCAGATAAACGGGCAAAGCATTCAGGCCGAGAAAACAGCAGTGCAGAGACCCTGGGGTGGGGATACAACTGGAGCATTTGGGGAGAGTGAGGAGACTGATGTGGTTGAAGCAGAGGAAGCCAGACAGGAGTGGTAGGAAGTGAGATCAGAGAAGAAATGCGGGGTCAGATCATGTTGGTCTCTCTGAGGAATTTAGCTTTTATTCTGAATGACATGGGAAGCCACCGGAGGGTTGTGGACAGAAAAGTAACATAATCTCACTTGTATTTTTAAAGGATAATTCTGGCTGCTGCTGAGCACAGATGGAGAGAGGGCAAGAAGAGCAAGAAGAGTAAACAGAAGGTGACTGCAATACGCAGGATAAGACGTGGCCATGGTAGTAGGGCAGAGGAAGCGAGTTGATGTTGGATTCTGGTCTCTTGTTGAGGAAGATCCACCAGGATTTGCTGATGGAAGGGATGTGGGATGAGAAAGAGTCAAAGAGGAATACAAAATGTTTTACCTGAGGAGTTTATACATATAATCTTTCATTATCAAAATCTTATCTTTACTCCTACAGGTGGCTCTGAGACAGTTTCTTTTCAGTTTTTGAGACAGTCCAGATGTCTACAGATTCTAGAAAAGTCATCTTCAGGCAGCTGAGAATTTCTATAGGTCGCAGTCTCTTCTCACACACTTAGTTCCTGTATTTCCTCCTTAAATGCCTTCAGGAATTTCCATACTGTTTAAATAAACAATGAACTAAAAGTCCATGTTTTAATTAGAATGAATGGCATTCTATTTAACTTTGTCATTTTACCTTTATTTCCAGCTCCAATAAACATGAATATCTATACATTTCAGAGCAGAACAGAAGTAAATGGACATAACATACCACTTCTTCTACTGTGGCAGGACCTTTTGGCCTGAGGCGAAGAGTTTCCCTTCCGGAACCAATTTTTTCTGCTGATGACTTTCCAGCTTTTGATCTTGGCCCTATTTCTATAAACATACAATGAATGGGGAAAGATACATATATTCAGGAAGAACCCCAACAGATTGCTGTGAAAGCTACTGTAGTTCTTATCACAAAACTATAGGTAATTATTGTAGAGATTTGATAAAAGGCATGCCTTATTATAGAATTTCCCAAAATAAAATAAATTCACCCGCCATCCATTATTCTCATGTGGGAGTCTGTATAAGAGAGTTCTACAAAAAGAAAAGGGAATATGAGAAATGTACAGATGGGAAAGACTGGAAGTTATAAGGAAGAAAAAATAAAACCGTTCACTATACTAGAAGAATAAAGAAGGGTAAGTGGCAAGAAAGCAGCAGAAAAAGTTCAGCTGGACTTCATCAGGGTCATGAAGAAGGGGAAGAATCAGGTCGTGAGAGAACAGAGGGACAGAGGCACTATTATTTGAGGACCTACCCTCTGCTTGACGCTTTGTGTGCAAAATCCCATTTAATACATACCAACCTCTGAGGCATGTTATAACCCTCATTTTTCAGATAAGGGACTTGAACTCAGTAACAAGTGAGGCCGGGATTGAAAACCAGGTCTTACGGATACAGACCACATTCCAGAGTCTATATGTTTTCCTCAACAACGCTCCAGCCCCACACCTCTTGGAAGCACAAGTGATAAAATCAGAGATGACATACTAAGAGAAGCAGATTCCTAAAGGAAAAACGCCTGGGAGCAGGTTCCCCACCGACGGCAAGGACAAAGACTGGGAGTTAGAGTCCAGGTGAAGCCACTCCTTTTCTTACGCTTGTTTTTTCTGTTGTGTTTTATTTTGTTTTTTGTTTTTTCTTTTTCTTTTTTTTTTTTTTTTTAGGGATTAGCTTTTTTTTTTTCTTTTTTTTTTTATTTCAGCATGTTATGGGGGTACAGATGATTAGGTTACGCATGATGCCCTTACCCTCCCTCCCCCCCAAGTCCGAGCTTCAAGTGTGTCCATTCCCCCAGAGGTGCGCATCGCACTCATTGTTTGTGCATATGCCCGTCCCCTCCTCCCCCCGCCCAACATCCAATACATGTTATTCTTATATGTGCACTTAAATGTTGATCAGCTAATACCAGGTTGATGGTGAGTACATGTGGCGCTTGTCTTTCCATTCTTGGGATACCTCGCTTAGTAGAATGTGTTCCAGCGCTTTCCAGGAGTATATAAGAGGTGCTATATCACCATTGTTTCTTAAAGCTGAATAGTACTCCATGGTATACGAATACCACATTTTATTAATCCACTCATGTACTGATGGACACTTGGGTTGTTTCCACATCTTTGCAGTTGTGAATTGTGCTGCTATGAACATTCGGGTGCAGGTGTCTTTTTCATAGAGCCACTTTTGTTCTTTTGGGTAGATGCCTGTTTTTTGTTTTTTCAATGCACTGAGAGTCACCCCCCAATACCAAGCAGTAACATAAATGAGTGAAAGGGAACGGTGGGGACTGAGGATAATGGAAGAGGTGTGCCCTATCCAGGCCAGTCCCCCAACTTACTACCCTGCGGGAATGTAGGCCCTGCACAGCCAGATCTACTTTTTTGCAAAGAAACTGGATACTCAGAGTCTTTTATGAATCTCTTGATTTTAAAGTTTTTTAAGTTTAGGTGATTAAGTCAAACTTTCAAAAACAACATATTGGCAAAAATAAAGAGATCTGTGGGTCAGATTCCAACCACAGGCCACCAATTTACAACCTCTAGAAACATCCCTTGTCCCCTTAACTGAGGACTCTATGTGGCAGCAGTTTGGGGCAAGGCAAGGGGTGGGTGAGGACGGAGAAGCTACACCAAAGAACTGGAGACAACTGAGCTCTGGTGAGGAGGCACGGGACAGGCCGGGAAATAAGAGTAGATGGTGAGGTCTGTGCAAAGCTCTCAAGACACAGACATCGAGTGGCCCGCACGAATGCATTCTTGCTTACTTCGAACCTAGAATAATTCTCATCTTAGCCAAGTACTCTTTTGCTATCGGGAATCTATGCCAAAGTGATCAAGGATTTTGCATATTAATTTTAAACCTACATTCAGGGACAGATTCACCCAAACATTAAGTTTTCCTCTGAGAATGAAATTATTAAAAATTATCATGCCATGAGTACACCAGCTCCCCCTAAGCAAAAACCTATAAATGGTGGCTGATGAGTTTGGGGAACACCCAAATGCTACTCCTGGTGACCAAATGGATTCTCAGGAGACTAGAGCTGTGTCAGCAGGCCTCCAGCGTTGGCCTTGCCAGTTACATTGTGTCCTGAGGGAATAAAGGATTCTCATGTGCTCAGCATAGAGTTTCAAATAGAGTGCCCAGAGAAAAAGATTAAGTCGATCCGTCATCAGCACGGTCCAGGATTCTGTACTGCCCAGCAGTGTGAGTGCTGCCAGCCCAGTCACATATATCCCTAAAGTGGTGAAGACAGCCACAGCTTAACAGTATAACATCAAGATAAGCAGCCCCACTGCACACACAGACCCCACCCACTGAGAGCTCACCAAGCAACCTGCTCTTTATAATTTGTCCTCTCATATAAATTTCCTACAGGGCGGAAAACGAACAGCCCACCTAACGCCTGTGCATTGTCCACCACTACATAAACATTTCTGTAATAACTGTAAAGTAATATATTGGCATTCTGACTTATCGACAAGTGCCTCTTACAAGTTCGGTGAGTATGATACAGCCCTGAAAAAATGAGCAACTCTGATACATTGAAAAAAAATAAAAAACCTTTCTGAGACTTACAAAGCTAAGGACCCAGCCTCTGGAATGTAGGGGCTTCATAAAGGCTGCGTCATCCTGCTTAAGAAGTCAGCCAGCCTCCCTAGACAACCTCTCTACCTCACCTTGCTCCTACCTGCAACACCGGCAGACAGAAGGGCAAATGTATGTAGCATGGAAGACTTTTTATTAATAAATTTTGTTAGAGCAGTTTTAGGTTCACAGCAAAACATAGAGGAAAGTACACCAAGTTCCCATATAGCCCCTGTCCCCATGCATGCACAGCCTGCCCCATTGTCAACCTCCCATACCACGGTGGTGCACTAGTTACAACCGATGAACCTACACTGACACATCACTATTGCCCAAAGTCCATAGTTTACATCAGGGTTCACTCCTGGTGTTGTATATTCTTACGGGTTTGAAGAAATATATAATAATATATATTCACCAGTATAGTATCACACACAATACTATTACTGCCCTAAAAATCCTCTGTAATGCACCTATTCATCCCAGATTTTCTTTTTATCATTATGTATTCGTATGTATTTGCCAAGCCATCTTCTCAAAAGTGGCACCTCAAAACTAACCACTTGGTGGCACCAAAGCAAAAGTTAAATTTGAAGGTCTGGCTTAGACCGACCTCCAGAAAGGCAGTTTTCACCTTCAAGGAAACAGAAGTCATGTTTCTCTATGATCCCATGATTTACGTAGATAAATCAACTTGTTTATACGTGAAAACAGGCAGGATAGTCCTGTTCACCCACAGGGGGAAAAAACAGGTTTAGTGTCTTGAAACATTTTGAAAATCACAACTATTTTATAGTCTGGCCTACTTTTGGGGTGCTGGCCTGTCTAAGCACATCTGACCAACCAGGCCAAGCCCTAAATCAGTCACTTCACGGGAATGGATGTGGTTTATACAGTAGACCCTGGTAATCAGCCTGCAGCTAGCTGATTCACTAGCCTCTGCCCCCCACCAAATGTGCTGGTCACTTAGGGCCCAGGAACACTCAGCTTGTGGGTGCCTAGCTGCTCCCATGGTGGAGTTGCACATTACCTAGAAATAGTCAAGTTTATTCCCAAACCTTTTTGTGGCAATTGTATCTGTCACTCTAATTATGTACTTTAATTTAAAAGTACATGAGCTGATGAAATGAGTGTAAAACAAGGAGTTATTATTGCTATGAAAACAGGGTTGACTGCTTTGGAAAGACTCCATGAGGGTGAGTTGCAAAGAAAAAGAAGAAAAAAAAAGGAAATATGTGTAGGCAAGACTCCTCTAGGAGATTAGGAAAAATATGTTTAAACATCCTTCATTTCATACATCTTGTTTTTTAAAAAATGAAATCATGCATATCCATAGATATGCATTGAAGTTGTGATTATATAAGAAAGACCATAGAACTCCAATTCGTGATCTCTACTCAAAGAAAAGGCCTTTTGCATTAACAGTGGTTTTTTTTTAAATGTGCATTTCTGTTTTAAATTAAAATGTTTATACATACATGTATCATTCTTTATAAGACCCCATTTAACTGACACTTTTTTTTTTGAGACAAAGTTTCAGTCTGTTGCCCAGGCTAGAGTGCAGTGATGTCATCATAGCTCACTGCAACCTCAAAGTCCTAGGTTCAAGCAGTCCTCTTGCCTCAGCCTCCCAAGTAGCTAGGACTAAAGGTGTGTGCCACCACATCTGGCTAATTTTTCTATTTTTTTGTAGACAGGGTCTCACTATGTTGCTCAGGTTGGTCTCAAACTCTTGGCTTTACGTAATCCTCCCACCTAGGCCTCCCAAGGTGCTAGGATTGCAGGCATGAGCCATTGCACCTGCCCTGACACTTTTCAGTAATCAGGTGAACCCCTAGTCTCTGCTATATGGTGAAGCTCAGGAAAAGAAATGGGGAAACAGAGAAGGCAGAAAGGTATCTGTCCCGTCCCAAAAGCCTGTGCCTGAGCCCTAGGGAAAGAAGAGGTGCTGACAGAAATGAAAAGCTCTGTTTTCAGCAGGAACACATGCAACATGGCTTAGATCCTCAACAGACGAAGGGCTGACCCAGTGGGGAGCCTGGGTATCCTCCCCACTTCTGCACAGAACAAGCCTTGTTCTGGTCCCATGAGGGCCCTCGCTGGCCTGGAGCATCACCATCAGAGCACAGGCAGAGACCACGACTCCAACATGAGGTGGACACAGATGGACGCAGCTGTCTCCAAGGTTCTCAGTGAACAAGAGCTAGCCCAAAGATGCCAGAGGAAAGAACGGAATGCTT